GACCACGTCTTGACTATGTTTTCAATAGGCAATGTAGCGTATCGGCCATACCACAGAGTAAATGGAGCATAGCCAGTTGTCCTCTTGACTGTTATGTAGTCAGCATATAGAACAACTCTTAATACTTTTGGCCAGTTACTGAGATTTCCTTCACACCACTTGGCCAATGAGCCTTTCAAAGTTATGTGACCTCTTTCAACAAGTGCATTCGCTTGAGGATGGTAAGTAGTCACATACCGAATTCTGACACCCAATCTAAGAGTGGTTCTTCTGACAATCTCATTTATGAATTCTGAACCTCCGTCTGAGACAAATTCTCTGATAAAAGGATCCTTAAGATAGACTTCTTCTATCCAATCAGCCACTTGCTCGGCTGTCTTCCTTTTCAGAGTTTTTGCCTCAACATATCCAGAGAAGTTATCTCTCATGTTCAATATATACCTCATCCCTCCCTTGCCCAGTGGCATGGTGATGAGATCTGAATGAACTCTGTTGCCTGGTTCTACCAAAATAGTAGGAAATAAAGGCTCAATCATTCTTATAGTCGACCTCTTCTGACATAGCATACATGACTTACAAAATATGAAAATCATATCTCTCATGCCAGGTCAGAAATAAAGTTTGACAGTCTTAGAGTAGGTTGCCTCAGCAGCCCTGTGACCACCAGCAACCCCCTCATATAGAGCAGCAATTATCTCTAACTGTCTCTCCTTACCACAGACCACCCTTAGTGGAGGTAGGCCTCCCTTACCATCCACGAAGAGATGTCCTCTTTTTAATCTGAATTTCTTCCTTGAATTTTTACAATAATATTCCTTCAGCTACTCCTTTTCCATCTTCTTACCAATCTCTTCATAGCTTTCGTCACATTCTTCAAAAATGAAAAATATCTCTTCGTCCTTCATTTGACCTTTCTCCTCTTCTTTTGAACTAGAGTTTTCCCCGATTTCATGAGCAGCCACTGCTGCTGCGTTAACTCTACCATACCAATCATTTGACTCATCTTCTTTTCCTTTCCTAAGAATCGACTCATAAGCATAGGCATTGGGAATCTCTCCCTAGTTGTCTCTCTCTTGAGGCCACAAACTCCACTTGTAGGAGTGTGGTACTTCATAATCCTCATCATCTTTCTCATTCAGAAAATTATCAACATAAGCAGATTCTTCCATCGTTTCGTTTACATCTTCTTCTTGTTTTTCTTCTTTTCTCCACTCAATACGACTTAGGTCATCTGGTGTGTTTTTCTCAGTGGGAATTTTTTCCAACTTAAAATCAAAAGTCCAGATGAAGGCAATCCACCTGCTGACTGTTGGAGCTACTTGTTGGTGCTTCTTAATGGCACCAATCACAGCAGATGCATCAGTCCTCAAGATGAATCTCCTCCCTAATACATAATGTCTGAAGCACCTGAGACTATGGATGATTACTGGCAATTCATTTCTGAATTGGGTATAACCTCTTTCTGTAGAATTAAGAGTCCTCCTCTCAAATCTCAAAGGCCTCTCCTCCCCATTTTCATCTTTCTGAATGAGCACGCCACCCAGACCAACTGGTCCTCCATCGGCCTCAATGATGAAGGGCTTTGCCTCCTCATCATCACAAAATGACACTCCCAGCACTACACCACCATCTTTTAACTTTTCCTGCAGAGTCTCTTCAGCGGCTTGTCGTTTATCATTGTAAACTAGATTAGCCCCTTGCCTTACTATCTCCCTCAGAGGCTTCGCAAGGGTAACAAAATGAGAAATAAAAATCCTCCAAAATTCACAGATGCCCAAGAAGCTTCTGACATTTGTCACTCTCTTGAGTGGCAGAGACCACTTTAAAATCTTGTTTATCTTTTTGGTTGGAGAAACATCTGAAGTCCAAAATGATTACTTATGGCTCAAAGAGAAGAGACTTTGGTCCACTAGCAGTCAGGTTATATTTTTGAAGTCTCTCTAGGACCATTTTTACTCCTTCAGCATGCTCCGAGACAAACTTTCTGACTCCACCTGGGACCAAAGTCTCATCCTTTATCAGAGGTCCTTTTACAGGATTGTCATCAATATAGGGGCTGGTTATTTCAGGAGAAATATTTTGCATGACTTGGATCATATCCCTTTGAACCACTGCCACACCATTAGTCCAATGCTGAGGCACCACACACATCTGAATGAGCCCTCTTGTCGTGTGCATGACAGTCATTGGTCGGCTAGTGGGATGTAGCGGACCTCGGGTTGGCCTGTGAGACCTGCCCCTTGGCCTGTTCTCACAGGCCTGTGTTGTATTCGGGGTAGGCCAATCCAGGCCGGTACCTCTGTCGGTACCAGCCAGTCCAGTCCAGTCCCATCAGTCCGCTAGGGTATACCCCAGCCATCGTCTGTTTTCAGTCTCATTCTTCACTTGCACATTTTGGACTACGTGCGTTGGAGTCTTGCGTGGGGAGCTGCGTTATGCCATTTCGCTCCCCCCCTTCTTCCTCCATCTTCATCTCTGTCACTAGCGGAGCACCACACTTGGTGGGTCCGCTACATTGGTATCGGAGCGGGAACGCTCCCCGCTCCCACCCACCACCCCGTACAGCTGTGCACGCATACAGCTGAGGAAAACAGCAAAACCCGACATCGGGTTTTTTTCGCAGTTTTTGGGCGTTTTTCACCGAAAACGCAGGGGAAAAACGGCGCGTGCAGGAGGTGCCACGTGGTGAAAAAGAGAGGCACCACGACGAGCGAGTGCGCGCAAGCGCCAAGGCCAAGGCCGCCGCACGCGCGCGCGCGCCACGCGCCCACGCTGTCCCGCTGCCCCGCCCCGCCCCGCTCCTGGATTTATCTTATCAAGATCCGGGAGTTTTTGCTGCCACTAGGGTTTGAACCCAGGCACCTGCCGAGCCATGCGCGTGCGTAAGCAGCCTCATAACACACTCGCCGCAGTGTGTCCATGGCTCTGTAGCACGGCACACTCGTATTGAAAAGGTGTCGTGCTGGCTATTTACCCCCCCCCCCCCCCCC